GCAGTCACAGGGAACTCATACTCACTTGTACTAAAATCCGGCCTTGTTTCCCTCAGTTTCTTGTTTCTGCTTGTGTTTGTTGTTTATTTGTTTGTTTGTTTATAACTCACTGTATAGTTGAGGGTGACCTTGAAAGCTTTAAAAAAATTATTATATATCTGTATGTATGTATATATGTATGTACACATGTGTGGGCATGAACGTGCCACAGTTTGTGTATAGAGGTCAGAGGACAACTTGTGGGAGTCAGCTCTCTCCTTCCACTGTGTGTATCCTGGCAATCAACTGGCAGCAAATGTCTTTACCTACAGAGCCATCTCACTGGCCCTGTGTGTGTTTGTGTGTGTGTTTGTGTGTGTGTTTGTTTGTGTGTTTGTTTGTTTGAACCACTTGAGCGCTTCACACAGCACATGAAAAAGAGATCACAAGGTTTCCCATCCAAGTGGATGCTTTTGAGAGGTGATGCTCATGACTTCCACCCAGTTCTTTCTATCCCGCTAGCCTTCCCACCTCCACGCAACAATAATGTGAGCCCCATCATTTGCTTCTGTCCCATCTATACTAGTTTTCTTTAGCCCATGATGCAAACTCTCATCTCTTTCTGCACAGGTCCCTCCCCGGGTTGTTCCCATAGTTGACAGTAACCATCAAAAGGAAGCTCCCAGGTAATCACTCTGGTCAGTGCTGGGTGCACTTGCTGGTAGAGACCCTACTCCCGTCCCTCCAAGCACACACCACAGTACTAATTCAGCTTCCTTTGGGTATGCTTTCTCACTGCCCCATATACCACAGGCTCTGAGAAGCCAGACCAAGTCTGTGGACAGTCTTTTTCTCGCTGCTAGATTCCCTGCATCCAGTATGGCATGAGCAGTACTACCGGAAGGAACAGCGTTATCGTCCTGAATTAGAATAGGGAGGGGATGAAGGAAACCACAAGGCAAAAAAGAGATTGCTAAATACATAGCCACCAAGGTTTACATCCGCCCTTAAGAACAAAGCAGCATGTGGCACTTTGAATGTGAGAGAAATAACTGCCATAAACTTCTTCAGCGTGGGGACTCTTGATGGCTCAGCCCTGTGTCCCCAGAACACACACAAATGTTTCCTACGCAGCTCTGCGAGGTCACTAAAACGTGGTCTTCAATGTTTGTTGGATGGATGAATGGGTAGAGGGGAGGATGGATGGATGGATGGATGGATAGAGAGACAGATTTACTGGACTGAATGGATAGTGGATGGGTGGATGAACTAGACTGGATAGACAGATGGACAAATGGATAGATGAACAGCAGAAGTCTGGACTGGATGAACAAGTGAACAGTTGGATAATAATAATCACTGTAAATTAGAAATATTAGAGTGATTCATGATCTCGTAATATCTTTAAATAAATAGTTTTGTCCTTTTTCTTGGCTTTTTAAGAGTGGAACTCATATAAACAGACCTTCCAACTCTTTTCCCCCCTTTGGCTTTTAGACACAAAGTTTCTCTGTTATTTTTGGACCCTATCCTGGAACTAGCTCTTGTAGACCAGGCTGGCCTTGAACTCACAGAGACTCGCCTGCCTCTACCTCCCAACTGCTGGGATTAGAGGTGTGCGCCACCACTGGCCAGCTCAGACATTCCAACTCTTAAAAACTTAGGCACATTTAAAAAAAAAAAAAAAAAAAAAAAAAAAAAAAAAAACTTAGGCACATAAGTTGGTTTTGTTTTAGAAACATGCTCTTACTATATAGCCCAGGCTTGCCTAGAACTTATGATTCTTCTGCCTTTGCCTCAGGAGATTACAGCCATACACCACACCTAACCACATGTAAGTATTTTTTTTAAATAAAATCATATTCCATTACATCATTCACTCAAATAAAAGAAAGCTTCCTGTATCCCCAGTCCCCAGCCTTCCTTACAGCATTGAACACAAGCAAGAAAGCCAGTCAGACACACACTCCCTTCCTATCTCTCCTCCTGAGTTTCCCATGCCCCCAAAGTGACCTCTTTTATGGGCCACTCACTATAAACTGAGGTTCTCTCCCTACAATCCAAGGCTGCAGGAGCTCAACATTCCCTTAGCCAAAGCGGCTCCCACTGCCCAGAGGCCTGGTCTAGACAGAAGGGAGGCTCTTAACATAGCCACAGACAACCAAGGGCAAGATTGCACGCCCCAGGACATGCCATGCACCCAGCTGGCAGCAGGCACGCGCACAACATCATGGCCGGTGCAAACACCACAACACTGCAGAGGGTCCTCTCTCAGCATCGTGGCTATGTCTGCTTCTCACAGCTTGTGGCTGAGAACAAAATGCAGAGTGACTTGTGCAAGAGAAGGTGGGGACAAGTGGCCCAAAGTGGCAGCTTTCCAGCCCTGCATTTAAAGCCCTCCTCGGTCTCTGGCTGTCTCCAGTCTGCCCACAGATTTTTTTTTTTCTTCTCAGCTAAGTGTCCTTATACCTGCCTCCTTCAGAAAGCTCAGAGCCATGGACTCATGCATCTGCAGGCAGCAACATCAAGTTTCTAACCGGGACTGCAGTGTGAACACAAGGCATGAGCTTCCTGATCATGTAAGGCCATGCTTCAGGGAAGTCTCGGGACACAAACCAAGGTCCATGGCAAATTATACGCTTTATATCAGGGCCCCCTAGGTCCCAAGGAGACAGAATCTCACAAGACAGAACATTTTATTTGTGTTTAAATTTCCAAAGAGCCATGTGAGGGTAGGTTTGCAGTATTTACTCATAAAAGTGGCATATATAAAGTTCAAGGTCACTAGGCTGATTAGCCAAGGTCATTAGCACATGAAAATATGTGTTCTATTGTATCCAAGGGTTCCTATGGGGAAAACGGTAAAAACAGTAACATAATGAAGTAGACATATAATATTTAATACTAACTCATGTTTCATTTGGTCCCAGACAAATGAGACATTTTAGAGTGTGTGTTTACTTGATCGAAATTCTCTCCAGTGTAGCCTGTACTTGACTTCAAGTAAGTTAGAACCTGCAGACATAAGTAGGGAAATGGCCCTGTGGATAAAGTGTCTGCCTTGCAAAGGTGAGGACCCGAGTTCTAATCCCCACCACTCATGTAAATGCTGGGTAAAGAGAGTAGCCAGAACCAGTGTGCTCTGGGGTCAGCGGGAGACTGTGCCTCAGCAAGTAAAATGGAGATCAAAGAAGCCACGTCTGATGTCAACGTCCAGCCTTTACATGCATGTGCACACATTAGCATCTACACACGCATGTACTCATATGTTAACATGCATACATACTTGCCATACACATAAAAATAAGTTCGTAGAAAGAACATACAGGTAATCACTCAAGTAGAGAGGGAAGTAGGAAAACACGGAACAATACTGTGCTGTCCTTGGGTTTCTGTTATGCTTGACCTCATGAAATCCTTTTTTACACAGCTTGGTACCATCCCACCAACCTCATTCTTTCCAGCTGAGGACCATGGCCAAGTTACGTCGCACGTGCCCAGCTGCGCTCACAGCTGCATAAAGGTTCCCCGCATTCTGACTGGCTTCTGCACTCTGAGGCAGGCTCCGTCTCCAGAGTCCACACACAGAAGCCGCCCGGCCTTACATGACATGGACATTGGTGACAAGCCGGGTTCTAGCCATTCAGAAAGGAGATGTCCCCCAACATACTGTATCTTGTTTAAGGACAAGTTCAAAAGTACCCCGGGAAAGGCAGCTCCCTTCAGCACAGCTGCTCATAGTGAAGAAATCAGTAAGGGAGGCGGTGACCATGGAGTCCAAAGCTACGCTGTTCCTTGCTTAATAAAACCTTGTTATTACAGAAAAAAAAAAAAACCAGAGACGTCTATGCTTATCAAACCAAGTGTCAAGGATACAACATGCCTCCCAGCCATGCCAGAGTGGCATCGGAGTCCTGGAGGCAGGTTTTTAACCTGGTGTCTGCCTATTTCACCAACCTCTTTGATTACCAGCTTATTCCACATCCCCAAAGATGTGGCTTCCGGGGTGGGGGTGGTACCCACTCCTCATTAGCAGACTGGAGCCCCTTTCAACAGCACTTGAAAAGACAGTGGAGTAGATAAAGCAAATCCCCTCCCCGCCAAATCATTCCCACGCAAAAGCCCAGCGAGTGATCTGCCTAACTCTACAAGATCCAAAGCAATTAGATTCCCAGGTACCAGAAAAGCCAGAAACCAAAATCAACATATCATTAAGAGATTGTGCTTGTCAACTGGCTAGGAAGTTTCAAAGAGAGACATAGCCTGAAATATATTCGCAGAAAAATATGTTTACAGGGTTTTTCCAGCACACTGGAGACTGCAAAGAATCTTGACTTTTGCAGCAGAAAAAGAGGTGGAGGGGAGGAAACTACCTACAAATAGAAACCACTGATCAGCCCATCTTCAGTGCCCTGCTGATATCGACTGCTCTGTACGGCATCTCTGTCCCAAGCTTCCAAATGACCTGTGCCAGTCCAGGAGTTGAGGGAGATGGCAACAGAGCAGGTAAATGGGGGTAGGAGGGGCTTCCTGCCTCTACTCACAACCTGCGGAGATACTGTCCCCACCACAGCAACTGCAGGAGGCAGACCTGGGAGACCGGGGACTGAAAGGAACTCTGGCCAACTTGGCGTTCTTAGCAGACCCATGGTACACTAGCTGGCATTTCCATACAGCAGAGCTGTTCAGGTTTATTTTCAAAAGGGTTAAGACCAGTTGCATAGTTCACTCCAAATTCTAGGAAGCTTCCAGGTCCAGGACAGCATAGGCACACTCCTTGCTCAGGCACACTCTCCTAGGGCATCCTACCAAGACTTCCAGGGAAATCACCTGCTGCCAGAGGCCTGCCCCAGACCTTGGCTCCGCAAGCCTCCTGCACATGCACGCACACACGTACACACACACACACACACACACACACACACGCCCACACCTCTCCCTGGCCGCCCACATTCACACACACACACATATACTCCCAGCAAAGTTAAGTCTTAGGGCCCAGGTAGCCCTAGAGTCCTCACCTTTGGAGAAAAGGGCGGCCAGGCTGATGAGCACAGGAGACCAGAGGTGCCACAGCGTCCCCATCTCAGACGGGCACATCCTGGAGACTCGGAGAGCGGCTGAAGGAGGGATGTCGCCAGGTTCCCAGAGAATAGAAGCTGAGCTAGATGGCCAAGACGCATCTGGCTAGAGACCCGAGAGGCAGATTCGCCCTGAACCGGGTCCCCACAGGTCCATTGCCGGGCCTCTTGGGCTCCGAGGTCCCGCAGCGCAGGCCGAGCTCACCTCAGTGCTTCGACCCCGCTGAAAACTGGCTAGTGAAATGAATTTCACTCCATGAAGGGGGTCTCCAGTACCGCTTCCCCAAGCGCGGAGAGCGCTCCTGGGACTCCGGCTGGGCTGCCGGGGTGGGCTATCGCGCCCGGGAGGCAGCGGGGCTGAGAGGCTTCGGGGCCCGGGGCGCGGGCAGAGGCGGCGCGGGGGTCCCCGGGTGGGTGACCAGGCGCGCTTGGGGACCCGGGGCGCGCAGCCTCGCCGCCCCCATCCCGCGCCACAGGGCTCCCGCGCGCGCGTTCCGTCGCCCAAAGTTTGCGGGGCGCTGCGGCTCCACCCCAGCCCGGCCCGGCTCCCCCGCGCGCCCGGCGCACGGCCGGCTCCGGAGACGCGCGGCGCCCCGGGCGGAGGGCGAGCGGCGCGCGGACGAGGAGGCGCGGGCCCGGGGCGGCTGCATCCGAGCGCACCCAGCGCAGCGTGCCCAGGCGGGCTGAGGCTGTTGCTTCCTAATTTCTCTCTCTCTCTCCCTCTCTCTCTCTTTCTAAGCCCCACCCTTCTGGAGTGACAGCTGTGAGCCCCAATCCGCAAAGTAGGTCCCACCTTCCTGGTTGCGGGGCGCCCAGCCTCGGTGTCGCCCTCTCTGAGTGCGCGAATGGGAGGGGAATGTTCAGAGGAGAAAATGAACACCCCGCCCATCCCCGGAAGCCTGTGTGGGGACCAGGGTGGATGTCCACGCTCACAACAGGTGTCGAAAGGCCATAAGACTCGGGGTGCAAGCGGTCCTCAGGCAAAGACAGCTCAGGACCCTAACATAAGCCGAAGTGTCCCCAGTAATCTTTTGAATGTGACCCTGGGATCCCAAAATGTTTCCCAAATTCCTGTCCCGGAAAGATTTCTATCTTGGCTCCCCGCTGGCCTTTGGGCATCAGGGAATTAATCGTTAGGATAAAACATTGTACTAAGAAAGTGACAGGCACGGCTCTCCACTCTTCACTCCTGCTTTCCCATGTCTCTAAGGCAAACTCAAGCCAAGATACCTAGTTCCCATGCTAGGGTTCTGAACTCAAGCCCTCCTCTGCTCCCGCTGAGCCTGGGAAGCAAGTCGATTCTATGGGGATTCGGGGAGGAAGCCCAGCCTCATTCCAACAGGTGAACTAACTCACTTCTGCATTAATTCTCTTGTTGCTGTGTCAAAAGCAACTCATGGGAAAAAGGGCCTGTTTGGACTCCAGTTTGAGAATACAACCTGTTTTCTCAATACAACCTGTATTTCTCAAACACAGGCAGGGAAGGCACAGGAACTGGTTAGTTTTTGGTCCGGTTCACACACACACACACACACACACACACACACACACACACACAAAGCTTCCATGGGAATGCTCCATAGGCAAGCCTGTAGGCTTTTTCTTCATTCATGGTTGATTTGGGGGGCACACTGAGGGCAGTGGTAGCCGGGGGCAGGTGGTCCTGGGTTGTATAAGAAAGGTAAAACTGTAAAAGCCACGGAGAGCAAGTCAGTAAGCAGCACCCCGCCATGGCTTCTGGGTCAGATCCTGCCTCCCAGCTCTAGCCCTGACTTCCCTCCATGGTGATTTAAACTGTAAAATGAAGCAAGCCCTTTCCTCCCCAGGTTGCCTTTAATCTTTGTTTTATCACAACAACAGAATCCAGACTAGGACAGCGGGACAGCAGGGGCACGAGGTAGCTGGCCACATGGCATCTGTAGTCAGGAAACAGAGAGAGATGGAGCCTGGTGCCTGGCTTGAGTTCTTTGCACTCAGTCCAAGGCCTCAACCCATCCCTGGCGAGACCCACATTCAGTTAAAACTTGGTGGGAACACCCAGAGGTGTGTCTTGCTGTGGGATAATGCTCTGTGCACTGTAAAGATTTGTCACTTATATGAGTTTAATAAAACTCTGATTGGTCAGTAGCCAGACAGGAAGCATAGGTGGGACAACCAGACAAGGAGAATTCTGGGAAGAGGAAAGGCAGAGACACAGTCGTCATCCAAAATCAGAGGAAACAAAGTGAGAAGGCCTTACTGAGAAAAGGTACCAAGCCTCATGCTTGATAAGAATTATGAGTTAATTTAGGTTGTAAGAGGTCGTTAGTAATAAGCCTGAACTAGGGGTCAAATGGTTTTTAATTAATATAAGCCTCTACGTGTTTATTTGGGACTGAATGGCTAGGGCACCCGGTGGGACAGAAACTTCCATCTACAGTGTCTCCATGGTGACTCTAAACCTATGACAAGATTAACAACCACAGGACTCAGAGGATCTGGCTGAGGGGGCAATCCATGTCTAGGAGCTTCAAAAAGAAAATAACCACTGGTTTTAAGTGGTTTCAGTTTCTTGACTTTTAAGGGCAATCAGAGGGGCCCAGGTTGTTCTCCGGATGTCTGAGAGACTTGGAATGCTGGCTTTACCTTTGTTCTGTGTGTCTTTCTTAATTATTGTCTTCCTGGTGTTCTTCTGTTTAGTTCTTAAGTCAGTCTCTCTCTCTCTCTCTCTCTCTCTCTCTCTCTCTCTGTGTGTGTGTGTGTGTGTGTTTGGGTGTGTGTTTTCTAAACTTTTATAGAATTGATGATGGGAAGAACCTGTGCGTCTACCCATCCCAAGCCTCTAGCATGTGAGCCATCCCCAGCCTCAGCTGGAAAGCTGGTTGAAATGACCACTGTGCCCATCCCCGAAACTGATGTGGCAGAGGCTGGTGGCACTCCAGGCTACCTTACTGACAAATTCCAGGCCACAATGAGGCCATGGTGATAGAATGTATACTGAGAGCCATCAGTATGTATCACTTCTTTCTTTCCCTGACTGATGAGGGAAACTGAGGCTTCATCCCTGACACATATTTCTCTGAGCGTCCCCTCGTGTCTAGCCAAGCTTCCCCCATATTCCTCAGTGGCAGACTCATTTGTGTATATCCAAGTATATATTTTTTTAATGATTTACTTGTTTTTTATTTATTTATGTGAGTGCTGTCCCAACATAAATATACCGTGTGTGTAGAGACCAGGAGAGGCCAAATCCCTTGGAACTAGAGTTACAGGCAGTGGTCAGCCACCATGTGAGTGCTCGGAATCAAATTCAGGTCCTCTGCAAGAGCAGCCAATGCTCTTAACCACTGAGTCATCTCTCCAGACCCCCAAGTCTATTTTTCTTGTTGTTTTGGATTTTTGAGACAGGTTTTCTCTGTGTAGTCCTGGCTGTCCTGAAACTTGCTCTGTAGATCAGGCTGGCCTGGAACTCAGATTTACAGCCCACCCCCTCTGCCAAGTGCTGGAATTAAAGGCCTATGTCACCACTGCCTGGCCCCACGTCTATTTTTAAGAGAATCCTTGAGTTCATTTCCTAGAAGTTAATGGTTTCTATATTTTTATTCAAAAAATGGCTTTACTTTTTTTTCTCTAAATCATTTTTTCCCTGAATTGTGAGCAGCAGGAGACTCTTTTAGGTATATGACCACACAGGCTTCTCTCTCTATGTCCTTAGGATAAAAGCTTCTAACCGCTACCTAAAATGTCTTCATCATGCACAGTTATCTGGACAAATCTTTTCTCTATTCAAACTGCGCAAACATCGTGAGTGGCTAAAATAAGAGGTAAGAACGACTCCCCCTCCACCTCTCTTCAGGAAGCTGTTGGAAAGTGTGTGCCCACTCCTCTGTAGACAATTAGCGCAGCTAATGGTGGGAGGGCCGTTTCTTAGGAAGACCTACAGGCATTTGTGGCAGCCTTCCAGGTCCTCGGCTGCAGCCCGGTGCCGGGGGGACCCCTTCCTCTCAGATCTACCTGCCCTGTCACTCTCAAGTCAACTGCCACCACCGTGCTTTCCTCCTGGAATGTGTTTCCTCTGCAAATCTATAAATCAAATCCTACCGACGACTGAATAGCACCGCTCGTGCTGAGTGTGTGAAGCCTCACACCACAGCAGCCCTGCCGTTTTACAGAAAGGCGACATTCTCGGGGCAGTTTAAAGAAATATCAGCCATGTCCCAGAGCTAATAAAGTTAGCAAGGATGCTGGGTTCCCACGCCCCCTGGTGAACGTCCACTGTTAAACATACCTGTGCCATTTTGAGCATGAAAACACTTCAGACACTAGAGACCACGATGCATAAGGCTGAATCCCACTCCCACCATCCTCCCCCTCCCCCAGCACGACACAAGGAGAAACCCGGGTAAGGACCACTGTGAAGCTTCCTTTGAGCAATACCAGTGTGTTCATTTCAAAACAGCATAGCTCAGTGATAAATATTGGGCTTGCCTACCATGCATGAGGGTTCAGTCCGCTGCTCTGGGGGCGGGCGATGAAATAAAATGCAGAGGGTTTGGCTTGGCATGCAAAGAGCAGGGTCTAACTGGAATTTGCTCACAGTTTATATGCTACTAATATTTTTGCTTCTGCATACACCCCTTCCGTCAGTTTCAGAAGTATGAGCGATTTTAGATTGTGACTGGCATGAGGAGCCCTGGAAAGGGCAGCCACACACCTCTGAACTTCCCTCTTCATCACAACCTCTCAAACTTCATGACGTAGTGATGAAATCAGCCGGGGACAGATCAGCCCAGGACCTCTATCAAGAGCAGAGACAGCAGCCAATGGGCACACGCCTCCAGAGAGAGTGCCTATGTAGGTGGGGATGGTCCTGCCCATCTGTCACTCAGTCCTTCCTATCACTCAGCTGACTGGACTCTGTAGCTGATTGACTGGCTATGTAGCCACCTGTAGCTCTCCACTCTGAACCTGCTACGGAAACTGTTGAAGAAGCCAGGAGCTGTGGCCATTGCAGGCTGGTGGTGCCCCCTTCAGCCTGCAGCCCAGCACAGATAGTGAGGGAAG